GGAGAGTCCCAGATTTAAACCTAGTAACCTGGATGACTGAGAACCTTCACAGACAGAAAGAGCTATGGTGAGGATGCTCTTCATGGATTACGGCTCAGTGTTCAATACTATAATACAAGACATCCTCACCACCAAACTGGACCACTTCCACATCCCCCATGCCACCTGCACCTGGATCAAAGATTTCCTCAGCTACTGCCAGAGCCATACTGTGCTTGGCCTGCCAGTACCTGTCAGCTGCCTCCTGGAATGGCACAGTTAGCCTGTGGACTCACGCTTTAGCTTGACAGCTCCCTTCAACTCCACTGTCCACCATCTGGTTCCTCCCTCCAGGAATGCTGTTGAAGCACTCCTGGAGACTGGAATCGAAGATCTCGTGGACCAAAGCCTCTGCCAGATGCTCTCAGTACACCTTCACTTGGTGTACTTAGTGGTGATCAAGCAATAGCTCAGCTCCTCTCTTCACCTAGTTTTCCAAATACTTTGGGAAGCCTGAAGTACTGTAATGAGTAACTGAGTCACTGCTTTGGTGTTTTTATATGTAGATTGCTTTACAACCACAATTTTTAGTAACAGTATGTAAATTGTCTTCTGCACATTGGTAATTCAACATATTTTATAACTGTCAGATAGCATTGTCTATCAGCCCTGGACTGAAATGTCAATTCTCCATTAAGGACAGGTTTACCTGTAATGGATGAAGGCCTCGGTCCTGTTGTGACATTTCCTAATAAAGAAAAAAACAACACCTGCTCCTATAACAAATACTTATGCCAGTTATGTTTTTGTCTGTGCTTGTGGACCCAAAACAGATAAAACAAAATACATGAATTCCCCCCTTTCAATCCCTGAAAGGTTCGGGAGAGGACACCTGCAGGCAGTTACAAGTTTGTTTGTTTTTTCCTGATCAGGTGGAGACCGGAGAATTGAGTACCGGGAGTGGTACAGACCGCTAGTGTGGTTCTGGATCTTGGGTGGCCTGGCTTATTTTGCTGCAGTGTTGAACATGATCAGTGACTGGCTGAGGGTGCTGTCCAAAAAGACAAAAGAAGAGGTACGTTTTCACATCAAACCTCTAATCTGGGTGCCACCAAGTTGCCATAATTTTACTATACAGCTGTTTATTCTGTCATATACATTAATTTGTATTTAGTCAGATTTTGCCTGCCAAAGTTATTCATCCTTACAGTTCAACCTATTTCTGACTGGTGACATATTCCAGTGAGAATCCCTTCTGTTTTGAATTAACATCTAATCTAATTTGTCTCATGTTCCAAGTACTCAGAGAAGTATGTTTCTGATTACCATGTGATAAGAAAACAGACATTCTGTTTTCAGGGGCTCTGCAGGTGGGGTGCACACAATAAGGTAAAGGGAACCTAGTGCAGTATATTTACTAAACCTTATATCTGACAATATTCTTTTCCTGAGGTTGGAGAGATCAAAGCTCATGCAGCTGAGTGGAAAGCAAATGTTCGAGCTGAGTTCAGAGAGACACGCCGGCGCATGAGCATAGAAGTCCACGACAAGTTACAGCGAGCTGCAACCATCCGAAGCATGGAGAGACGGCAGCTAGGCCTGGACCAGCGTGCTGTGTCCCTGGACATGCTTTCCCCAGAACGGCGTGCCATCTTCAACAGTCTGGATGCCAACAACTACAAGACTTCTTCCCAGGAAAGTATCGACACTAAGCTAAACAACCTTCGACTGCGAGAGGCCGAACAGTGTGACCGACGCTCCAGCTCCCAAACCATGTCTGAGGACAACATTTTTAATCGCCTTGGCTCCGTCACCAAGCTAGCCAAGCGTAACAGGAATAGAGACCTAAAGAAAAACATCCCAGATGAAACTCGCCGGCCTCATAGTGAAGCGTACGGTTACAGCATACCTGCTTTTGACTGCAGCATACCTACGACAGATGAAGGAAGAAGAAAAGACGAAGGAGAGGATGAAAACGAAGACAAGGAATGCAACACCAGTTTGTCGGATTTTCCACTGTTTGTGGAAGCTTGCAAGCTGCAAAATGGGCTTATACAGGAGCACACCAAAGAGAACGAGGATGACAAAACCCATGATATAGATCTCCATATTAAGATAGACTCTGCATGATCCTACAGATGGGTTTTTAAATACCACCATTAGTGCCTCTCCCTTATTCCTGTGTGTGCTTGAGCAAGGACAGAACCTTTCCTTTTTGATATATACAGTAATGGTCACATATTCAATGGGCTCTATGGATCTGAGGCATAGATGTTACTTTCTATAAATCAAGACCTGGAAGGGTTTCTGTCATTGTTCTTTGACAAATGATTGTTAAGTTATAGTAAAAGTTGTCAGCTATGTCCATTGTTTTTCTCAATTGTACTGTACTCAGCTATAATCTATAAAGATACACACGTATCCCATGGAGAGATTTCAATTGTCCAAGTGGGAAGGGGAGTGAGTGTTCACTAAGTATTTTCTGTTTTGTCATAGTATACAGTACATGTCATATACAACTACAAGTTGTTAGTCAGCACTGTTTCTTCTGTACACTGCACTTTCACTTGAATTGAAATGAAATATAAACAAACATATAAAGTTTTGGCATGGGCGGAGCTACAAGAAACTGTTCTGACCATCTACATGGGGCCCCGCTTTTAGAAATGATCCAGAAACATTTAGACATGGCAGCAATTACCAATGTGTCCAACCATGCAGATGATGTGGTTTGTAAAGAACCAGTGAAATTGTAAAAAATAAGCTGATGCAGATCACTCTCCAGATTCAAAAGTGTTAGCATTAAAAAATTAGACTTAAAAAGAGAACTGGCACTGTTAGATGTGTGATGAAAGTATCAGGTTTGGATGTCAGTGACAGAATTGGAGGTGTCTTAAATGAGGTCTTATGTGTACACACAGACGTACAACTTTGTTGTGACTTCATCCGTGTCTCACGCATAATAAATATGAAAACAGAAAAAAAAATGCTGTGTGGAACATTAAAACATAAAGGCCTGACTTTCTTATGATGTGTTAGTTGTCATGTTGCCTACTAAAAATAGATTCTTAAAATGTGCATTGAAATGTGACTAAAAACATGCCACATGTTGTCTGTGCATGATCCCCAACCTTAGTCATTGTCTCTGTACAATGTCTGACCTCTTTTAACACTATCTCAGGGCCTGATATTGTCTCCTAAGTATTGAATGAGGGGTCAGTAACTATACCTGTTCTCAATGAAAGAATGAAAATAGAATGGAAGAAGAGCCATAATGAAAGAGGAATGTCTATTGCATATTCTCCATGAAACATGGTTTGAGACGATGGGTTTGAGAGTATAAAAGGGACTGCTGTTACTGTCAGTGTGCATCGTGCCCTTGTTATTGTACCTTAAACGAACATATTTAGGAGGTGTGGCAGTGACATTACAGATCTTGATTTGACTTGGGTTTACCCCTTCGCCTGCAGTCTGGAAAATTCAAATGGATGGACGTCAGTGGAACACGGATCCACCAGGACTGACACCTGATAGGCTGTGACACCTGTCAAACGAGTAAATGTGGTCCAAACATACAATTCTAGCCTTAATACCTTTTTGATGGATTTTAACAGGAGGAAGGATTTTAGCTCTGGAGAATCAATCTTGATGTGAAAAACATGGGATTGGACAGTTTGGGACATTATCAATGAAATTCTATGCAGTTGGAGATTTCTGTGCAGCCAGCATCTGATGGCCATTGCCAGTACTCCATCTTCATGAACTTGTGCATCGGCTGCAGCTTCAGCCATCGTATTGGCTGTTTGAGCAGATAATTTCCCCCAAAATAAAATAGTCTCGTACTCACTGTGTACCTTTTAAGGGGGAAAAAAGAAAACGTGCTTAAATCATACTGTGATATTATGATGCTCATACTGTTTTAAACACCGCTCCTAGCCTCATGTTAATGTAGTCACTATCTGTGTATGCACTCTTGTCTTATCTTACTGTTCACATTATCAAGTGAAGCTCTAGGCTAGTGTCAATGCAAGAAGGTGTGTTTTAAAATGCTTCCAAGTGATACAAAAATGCAAAGCTTACAAAGAAAACCAAGACATGGAACAAGGCATGCTGTATTACAGATTATTATAATGTATATGATGTTGACTGTATACGACCACTTGCTTCAAAGGACGGCGTTTTTAAACTGCCTGTGTTAATAAGATGCACAAGCTATGTACTTAGACACTGCTCACAGTATCTCCTGTGCAACCATTACATTAAAGGTAGTGATTGCCTTTTGGAATTAAAGATCACTAAATGAGTGCTATTTATGATTTTGCAAATGTCAAGATTCAATTTGTCCTGGTTTTAGTTTTAGTTATTGTTTCCTGTGTCTGTTTCTGAAAAATATCCACCACAGATCTGCATCACTTTCAGATACACTTCCTGACTCTTTGGTTACAAAGGGTAGCTACTTGCATTCAGATAAACAAGGAGAAATTGGGGCATGTTGGATCAGTTTCTGCTGTTCTTAACAAAGATATAATGTATGTTTAACATGACATGCAATACCCCAGGTGTATCAAAAAAGCCAGCTGTGACCGGAGCGTGAACCTGAAACTAATCACACAGACTTTATTAATAGTGTGTGTGTGTTTTTGTGTGTGTGTGTGTGTGTGTGAGTGAGATGTGAGAGCTGCTACACAATACTGCCAAAAGTATTCTTTCACCTATCCAAATCATTTAATTCAGGTCTTCCAATGGCCCCTTTCACAGCCACAGGTGTATAAAATCAAGCACCTACAGTAGGCTTGTTAGGCATGTAAAATCACAGAGCGGGGTTAGTGGATGCTGATCTGCATAGTGCCACGGAATCATACCTTCAAACTAGAGCTAGGCATCTTGTCTGGTGTAGTCCAGAAATCATGTTTCCAGGGTTTAAAAATTTAGGGTCAAGTGCTGTAAACAAAAGCACTGCAGGTGGAGTGTCCAGAGGGTATAGGCTATATAAAAGAAAAAGGATAAAAACAACAAGAAGATTCTTACATAAACCTTTATTTTGTTAACAATTTCTCTTTAATCATCCACAGATCTGGTCAGGTTTGCTTTGACAACATGTGCACCCCTTTGTCCTCTCAGACCTGCTACAAAGGTTTGAGGTTTAGGCACTTGGCTTGCACCATCTCTCTTGCTTTGACAGGCAGCATTCTTAGGAAGCCAGGTCTGAGTGACATTTTCCCGTCTCATGTGACTCAGGTCAGTCTGTACTGAAACGGTAACTCTGGTCTGAAGATTGGCCTAGAGATATGAAGCATGGAAATGAAAGGTCAGTAAATAAAGTCGTGCATTGAGACACAAACAAAACAGAACCCAACTCTTGAAACCACTGTAATACAGTAAGGTCCAGTTAACTTTGTTAGTTACATCTTGCTAGTACCAGGTTAGAGTTTGCCTTTCGTAACTCCCTCAGTTCTTGTAGCATATACTCAACAAGGTGATGGAAACAATCCTTTTAGGATTTTGGTCTAATAGCATCACATAGCTGCTACACGTTCATTGGCTTCCACATACATGATGAAAATCCCGTTCGAAATCCTATCCTATATAATCCACTATAAAAGTTCTTAAAAGTACTCTGTTGGACTGCGATGGTGACTGTGAAGCCCATTTCAGTGCTACAATGACAACTCATTGTCATGTTCATAAAATCCTTTTGAGATGATTTAAGCTTTGTAACAGGATGTGTTAAGCCATCTGAAGGTGGTTACACTGTGGCTATAAAGAGATGGGAAAGGTCAACAATACTACCCAGGCATTTAAAAAAAATGCTTGGTTGCTACTAATGGACTTCAAAGTATGCATAGATAATATCCCTCATGCCATTATACCACCACCAGGAACAACCTGGGCTGCTGATCCAAGGCAAGATGGATCAGGGTTTCCAGAACCACAATCTTTACTGTCAGTGTGCTTTCGAACAACGAAAACTGTATACAAACCCGTTCAGTACAAGTAAAAAAAAGGGCACTTTTAAGAAAAAGAAGTATATCTGTACAATACATTTTAAACAAAGAAAAAAAAAATAGTATGTACAAGACTGTGTATCAGAATGAACAAGTGAGAATACACACAGTGATGCAGTCCTTAGAATATTGCACGGTTCCTTGGAAATATTGCACAGTTAAAAGAAGAAGAAGAATATTGCACAGCTAAAAAGAAAAAAGAAAAGAAAATATTGCACAGTTGAAGGTTGTGTTTTTGCATTGATTTATCTCCCTGCATTTATTAATGCAACAGCCCTGGTGTATGTGCTTTTTCTCAGTCTGTTTGTTTGGCCTTAAATGTCCTGTTCATGGTGTTGACACCACATTTTTCCATTACATTCAAATGTTGTGGCAAAAATCTAGACTCATCAGACCAGGCTATTTTCTATCGTGTCTGTTTTATTCTATTCTATCCGATAATTTTTTTGAGCACATACATACTGTACCAGATTCAAAGTGTGATGTGTTCAAAGAGACCTTTCTGCAGTCATTAGATGTAATAAGTGGTTATTAGAGTTCCTGTCCAGCCCAAAGATATTAGGCCATTCTCCTCTGATAACTAATATCAACAAAGTATTTTCTCCCAGAGAACTGCAGCTCACTGGATATAGGCTCAGAACACAGACAGCACAATGTTCATTTAGAGAAGGGTTGTTAATGACAAAAGCTGTACAGGTAAAGATGAACCTGAGGCTGCCGTGGGACGCCTTGTTCCAAGAAATTAACATATTCATATTCATTCTTAATAAAAGCAGCAAAGTTACACATCGACACACAAACATACACACAAAGACTTTAAGCACTTAAAATACTTACTATAAACTTACTGCATTTATAGTAAGTATAAATGTTCAGTAAACTAATATCTGCTAAAACGTGTAAATGTGAGCATTTCTGCATGTCATTGAGGTGCTATGAGGTCTATGAAGTTCTATCATAAAGTACACAAGAAAATTATATAAGAAAAAAAAACAATCCAACACTATAGCACATACAGTAATTGAAAGGATAATCCAAGCACAATCAGAAAAGACACTTATGAAGGAAAATGTAACTTTTGATAAAACCACATCAAATTGTAAAACTGTAAAACATGGAGACAGAAAGAAAGAGCATCAGGACACATCAAACAAAAAGCTACTATAACTGTGAGCGTCGGATGGCCACCCTGCATATGTGCGTTTGTTTTCGTTCATGACACTTACTTCCATGCCCTGCCTAGAGCTGTCCACTTGGATTGCACAGATTTGCCACTTCCAGAAAGGTTTAGCCCATTTACTCCCTTTTTATGGGCCAGAAAGAAGGTAGTCAGAATTGACCGTGGCTGACAGAGAATTCCAGGGTCTCCTGAGGGTCTTCGTCACCATCAGGTGGGCTCCTGAGGTTCTCCATCTCCATTGTCTGCCTCCAATGCCTTTCACAAACGTGAGACTAAGCTAACCTGTAGACTCACTGAGTGGGATAAACAATGCCGAGTCTAGGCCATGATCCGCTGCTTACTTTATGGCATTTTCCACCCCGAGTTGTGGCTTTCTTATGGAAAGTGAGTAAACGGACTGAACCTGTCTGGAAGTGACAAATCTGTGCAATCCACTGGACAGCTCCAGGCAGGGTGGCCTCTCAACTGTTCCAATACTACTATTCTGTTCTGTGACTTTTGATATTCTGCTACTGCTGATAAGTCTTTTCACATTCATGAATCATTCAAAAACAGAACAGTTTACATTGTACATTTTAAATGAATGACAAACACGTCTCTCTGAAAAAAGTTACAAGTTTAATATATTACCTAACGCTGTTTGTAGAAAATGTCATACTTTTAAGTAATAACACCGTTAAGTATTACTATAGGTTTCAACACTTTAGCACACATCAGACTACAAAGTGAGAAAAATAAATGAACGTGTCTCACCAATTTGAGAGCTTTTCGTCTAAGCTCCCACTCATTCCACTCATATGACTTGACAATGTTTTTCTCCACAGGGTGAATTTCAGTCTGAGTGCCACACTCACATTTTATACCTGGCTTCACCGGTAAACCCTTTCTTGGCTGGGTCTGCCAAACCAAAAGTCGAAATCAGTTACTACCAACAGATTGTCCAAACATAAGAAAGTTTTAAAAGCTCCTGTGAATTTCATTAAATGTTTTTGAAGTGTGTGTTGTGGCTATTAGAAAGTTACCTGTGAGAGTCTGCTCACATCAGAGTATGGACTAATACAGGAAAACTGTTGGTGGAGTTTGAGGAGCTGAATGAGTTCAGGGGAGTATTTTGCTTTTTCTGCAACCTCTGCAACAAAGCTGTCTGGACTAAGGGCAAACTTCATGGCAGCTTCTTTGGAGGTAAAAACATAGAGCTTCTCCTTGTGTTTCAGGGCTCCGATGTATGGATTACCTGCAAGAGATAAATATTAATATAATATTGGTCCACAGCCTCCCTTTGATCTACTCTATGTTCATTTAATTTGAAGTTAATGAAACAATCTTCCCCCTGATGCACCCATGAGAGAAGGAGACTGAATGTTAGACAAGGTGCTTAAGTATAGAAAAAAGTGCTTCTATGAAGTCTTATGTGATGAAGTGCTTTGAGTGCCCAGTTAACTAACCGATTAATGTGTCTAATTACACAGGTGAGAAGTTTCACTAAGATAAACACTCATATTAGCCTTATCATCAAAGACTTGTATTGGCTAACAGTCCTAATACTTGGATCAAGGTGGAGCCGCGCTCGTCCGAGATAAGAGGGAATGATGCTGCATCAAAATAAGCTAATTCCCGTGTTCCAATCACTTTCATGGCCACATGTGCATAAAATCCAGTACCTAAGCATGCAGATTGGTTCTACAAACATTGAAAGAATGGGTTGCTCTCAGAAGCTCAGTGAAATCAAGTGATAGGGTAGTACTGTGATAGAATAAAACATTTAATAATAAGGTCAGTGAAATAGTTCTGTAGGAGAGACCTGAAGCTTTGGCACTGTACTTAAAACTATTGGTAATCCCCACCATTTATGCTTTCCAATAACATCATAGTGGCAACAATCACAGCCATGCCTGCTTACTTGATGGACAGCTTTACTCAAGTTGTCTGCTGCTAATCTTAGTATATCACCTTTATGATTCATTTTAATACTCTGGTTCAGAAATTCAGGGCTGTGAAAGAGACAGTCCAGCTGCAAAAACAGGTACATGTCCTGTAAATCAGTGTCAACCTAATACTGCAGTATTTATTTTATTATTAACCTTTATTTAACCAGGAAAAGTCCCATTGAGATTAAAAACCTCTTTTTCAAGGGAGTCCTGGCCAAGAGGCGACAACATGTTGAAATTACAAAGTTACATACATATTATAAGTAACAATTACATTTTAAAAACATTTTTCTCTGGCTCTCTCACTGGACTTAAAAGCATTTAATGAAATAAGATCTGCTATCTTCCAGTCTTTTTGCATCATGTTCCATGTGAAAGGGGCAGCATAAGTAAAAGCCCTCTTTCCCAGTTCAGTTCTGACAAATGGAACATTGAGCAAAAAAAGATCGCTTGAACGCAGGCTGTAAGAAACAGTACTTCTCCGTGTGAGCAGATCGCAAATGTAGGTGGGCATTTGTCCAAGCAGGGCCTTATAAATAAAGATGCACCAGTGAACAAACCTCCTGGAGGACAACGAAGACCATCCCACTCGAGCGTACAGATCACAACAATGGGTCAAGGCCCTACAGTTTGTAATAAACCGTAAAGAGGCATGATATACTGAGTCAATCTTATGAAGACACTGGGCGGAAGCATTCATGTACAGCAGATCACCATAATCTAAAACAGATAAAAATGTGGCATTTACAAGATGCTTTTTTGTCTCAAAAGAAAAGCAAAATTTGTTTCGAAAGAAAAACCCCAATTTTAGTTTGAGTTTTTTCACAAGATTGTCTATGTGAGATTTAAAGGTCAGAGAATCATCAATTAAAAAGCCAAGATATTTATACGTATGCACCACTTCTATGAGGTTTCCCTCAAGAGTGGACACCAAAGGGACAGTTTGAGGAAATCTCTTCATGTTTGAAAACAACATTAGCTTTGTCTTTTCAGCATTGAGAACCAATTTCAGCTCCAGAAGTGTGTGCTGAACCACGTCAAAAGCTTTCTGCAAAGATTCTATTGCCTTTTCAAGGTTTGAGCCAAAGGAATAAATAACTGTGTCATCAGCATAAAAATGCATACTAGCATTGGACACATTTTGTCCCAAATCATTTATATACATGATGAACAACAGAGGTCCTAAAATTGAACCCTGTGGCACCCCAGTGTGAATATTCAAAAGTTCTGAGCACAGATTTTCACATTTAATGCATTGAGTCCTGTCACTCAAATAGTTAGTGAACCAGGAGACGACATGTCTAGACAGCCCCAAAAAAAAGAAGCCTATGCTTTAAAATGCCGTGATCCACAGTGTCGAAAGCTTTTGACAGGTCGATAAAGAGAGAAGCACAGTGCTGTTTTTTATCAAGAGCAACAAGTATGTCATTTATCACTTTTGTGGCAGCCGTAACGGCACTATGCTGTTTTCTGAACCCAGATTGCAGTTTTTATTTAGTTAGTCATAGGTGGAAAAATTTGATGTGCTGACACGTAGGAGAGAATTAACACGTTGTTAGCATTCAGCCTGGTCTTAATGAGTGACGCCAAACAGCGCTCCCACAGACTACTAAGAATGATCAACAACTGATATTATTTCTATACGGATTCTGTGCAATCAAAGCAGTATCATCATATGACCCCTCAACCGAAATGTAGGGAATAAATCACGCAAAATTTATGGGAGATTGCAGGAACTGATGAATAAAAAAATAAATACTTGAAAAACACGATTTGTAAAATATATTATGTAGATTGTAGGGATTGCATTCTTTTAAAATACAGCAAATTTAACAAATCTGTAGAAAATAGCTGCAGTACATTTAAGGCCAAAAGCAAGTTTTACAGACAGGTAAGAGAGTCCAGACTATCATTAGTATTACACATGTTAGGTGACCATTCAAACAGCTCTCCAACCACCCACAGAAGGCAAATGACTTCCAAACCCCACCCCAAATATCACTACCTTTGTCCAGCTGAACCTGGTTCAATAAACCTAAATCTGATTCATTCTAGTTACAAACTTGAACAAGCATTATGCCAGACACAGTTGACTGCATTCCATTTTTGAATTTTATAATATAACATTTTAATTACAATACTAGCCTAAATTCTGTATGGATGGATGGATGGATGGATGGATGGGATCAGGAAGGCAGTATAATTATAGCTATGAAGAGGCTTTGGTCACCACCTTTGTGGCCATTCAGAGAACAACTTCATAATTCCCTGCAACTTCATGAGTGTTTTTAAAGAAAGCTGACGCCTTTACTCACACACCTAAATGTGTTTTACCTAAGCAAAAAACCATCACACTGGAATTGTACCTGGAAGTAGAAGGCCATCTCTGGTTACAAGTGTGTAGCCACAGAATCCATTATACTGTAGGGGCATTTCCTCAAAATTGACTGTTGTTTCAGGAAAAAGCCATTCCTGTGTCTTCAGGGAAGCTGGATCAACGCAGTTATCTGGAAGACAAAATAAATCACAACCACATTTAAGACTGGCAAAAGCATAGATCTTCATTTCTCTTTTTTGTAACTCTTGTGGAAAATGTAGTTTTGTTTCTGTGGGTGACCAAAGCCATACCTGAAGACTCAAGCATTCTCTGTTCGTCTGTCTTCACCTCTGAGTCCTCCAACAGACTTTCTAGATATGCTTCAGAGAAAATCCTGGCCTGGGAGGCAGAGAAGGGCTGGAGTCTGAGCATGATTTTATTGAGCATGTACAGGAACTCACCCTCATCCCGAAGTTCAAACCATAACTTTGACAGCATCTTGAATAATGGCTGAAAAAGAATGAGAAATGACAAAATAAAGACTCTAGGTACAGACAAATATAAGAATCAAGGAGGAAGAAAATCTTGTACACACTTCCATCTATTCCTTCAGATGAAATATAACAAGACATTAACTGTAACAACTTAAGAACACTTCAAAACAATCAAAGCAACTTACAAAAACTGTTGCAGCTGGTACTGCTGTTTTTGACTGCACAGTTTCTTTTAGCAGCTTCATCTGTGGTGAGACGTCACTCAGCAGGGTTTCAACATGCTTAGCACATGAATTTGCATCAGCCTGGTGGTACAGGAAAATTAATATTTCACTAAATATTTTAATATAAAAAAAAATCACCTTAAATAAGATGAAAATAGCCTAAAATGCCCAGTGGTACATAATAGCAATGGGCCTACACAAAACATTGTGCATGCTTTGTTTCGTTTTGTGCTTTTTTATTGTCCAAACTTTTAACAGTGAGTATCTCAAGGAAAAAATACTCAATAATCAAAATGAGACTAAGGCTGAAAATAACAGTATTCAATTATTTCAGCCTGATCATCACTTTTGTGACCATATGGTTGGTAAAACAGCTGGTTAAAGAGCTCGACCCAGGATGCAACATCCAGGTAGAAAATATTTTTCAGTTTTATTATTTGACAATATTATTCAGCTGCAATTTAAGGTTGTTAGTTTAGTTATTGTTAAAGTATTATGCAGTGTATTTAAAATGTACACTTCATGTTGTGTTGTTACCACTACTCTATAATTATACAGGCATCTTGCTTTAATTGATACACACTTCACATTAGTCCGTGATAGTCACCCACTGGAAAAATTTATTTATCCTCTTAAATGCTGCCGACCTTTAAATTCAGAATTATACAATCAGTTTTTGCTTTTAGCTATGTACGCACTGGATGCTTTTTGTAGTGATTTCACTACGAGAGATCATACAAATGACATTCAGTGGCTTCAGCCGTCTATGGGTGAACCTCTCCAGTCAGAAAGTGGGCGTGACCCAAGATAAACTTCGCTCAACTTTCAGGCCAGTCACCCAGTGGTCAGCTTCATGATGATCATGTGGTGATCAAATAGCTTTCAGTGTGTACACAGCTTAAAACACTGTCTTAATATACTGTAGTACACATGTTTCAATTAATTACTGCACCCAATTCTTTTTTCCTAGCTCAAGACTTTTGCAAAGCACTAAAAGTTGGTACTATTATTATTAAATGACTGATATCACTGTTATAACAGGTGTAGTCTCCATGTAAATACCATGTTTTTAACATTTTGTTTAAAGTTACAGCCACCTTACCAGTAACATTTTTAGGAAAACTTCATGCTGTCTGGCATTGTACAAAGCCTGTTTGAGGAGAATAACGGGCATGTCAGAATGTCCCAGCTGAACATCAGAGCTTGTTAGCTTCTCCAGCACAGCAGTGTACTTGAACACCAAAGTCTGTGTCACACACAGCTCATTTGCTATGCTTTTACTGGTGACTGGAAGAGCCTCTTGAAGAACTGAAGGCACTGCAAGGAGAACACAAAAAGGTATAAATATCACTGTTGTGAGCTGAATTTATCACAAGACAGAATTTTGTCACAAGGGAGTGGTTTAGTGTGATTTGCAGACTTTCTATTGGGTGTTAAATTTTTGTGAAATTTGTGATTTATTTTTTGTTAAATTTTTTGTGATTTAGATCTGTGTGTTTTGTGAATCTATATACATTCAGCTGGACTTTATCATACCCAGCTGGAGCTGGCTGCCATCACCGCTGGAAAGAGACCTGACAGAGTGGAGTTGGGTAAGAGCCTGAAGCCTCCCCCAGCCCTGTGAGTAACCTGTTTGTTTCCTCTTTTGATGTAACAACTTGTGTCAGTGGCTGAACCTGACAGATTCTTTAAAACAGTACTGTCCACAGTTAAACCTCCCCACAGAAACCCTCAACATCTAAGGTGCACATATGCATATGTGATGGGGTGTGATTTGTGGCTCAGCTGCAATGGAGGGGTGGAGTGATAGATTCAGGGTGTGGTCAGCAGCTCTCCATCATCAATCATGCCTCCCCTATTTGAGTTGGACAAAATTACCTGATGCCAGAGCTGTGTGCTGTGCTGAAGGAGGCAGCTGGAGGCCTGCAGAAACTAAAGAGTGTGAAGCACCACAAAAAAACGTTCACTTACTTTGTGATGCTGAGTGCGTTGGATCTTTTTGTCACGATTGGTACCGAAACCAGTTGTGGGACGATGGCCTATGACTAACGCAGTTGAGTGACGCTGGCAGATATTGTGGTGGAGTTGATGCATTGGGAGCAGGTGTTGGTGCATCAACAGCAGCTCAACTGGCTACAAGACCAGGCTGAGTGCCTTTACATGTCAAGGCTCACTGTGTGGCAGGCAGGATGTAGGACCCAAATGCAGGACTCATAAACGCAAGGGTGAGAACTAAAAGTGGCAGCTTTATTTCGGCTGTAAATGGTAAATGGCCTGCATTTGTATAGCGCTTTTCTAGTCCCTAAGGACCCCAAAGCGCTTCACACTACATTCAGTCATTCACCCATTCACACACACATTCACACACTGGTGATGGCAAGCTACATTGTAGCCACAGCTGCCCTGGGGCGCACTGACAGAGGCGAGGCTGCCGGACACTGGCGCCACCGGGCCCTCTGACCACCACCAGTAGGCAAACATGGGGTTAGTATCTTGCCCAAGGATATTTGGCATGCAGCCAGGAGGCAGCCTGGGATCAAACCACCGACCTTCAGATTAGTGGCTGACCTGCTCTGCCACCTGAGCTACAGCCACCCCCTGACTCTTTAAACATACAACAAACAAAGCCAAAAGCGAGGAACTAGAAATATGAACTAAAATCAAAGCACTATGACACTGGGAAGCTAAGGAACTAAACTGGGAAACAGAGCTAGAAAACTACTAGGAGAACACAGGAAAACATGCACCAATAGCGTGCGCCCTGCCCAGAATGTCAGCTGGTGAACCAGCCACCCTTTCCAAAAGCACCCTTGCACCCACTCCTGTTAATGGACGTCCCATTTAAGCACACTGGTGCAAACCTCATCAGGCCATTTGTAATTCTAGGTGTTGGACCTAGCATTTTGAGTTTATTGTGTTTTTGTATTATAATGATGATGTAAGTTTCTCTAGTTCGTTTTGAGTTTATTCTTTCTATGTTTCTGAGTTTTCTTGTGTTCCCAGTTTAGTCTCTCGTCTGCTAGGTCCTTTTTGTGCCTCCTGTGAGAATCTGTCTTGTTGTCTGTGTTTACGTTTCTGTGCATATAGCTCCCTCGCCCTCTGTGTGTCCAGTCGTTATGTTTTTGTCTCCTTTTTCTGTACACGTGTTCCTCTCATTGTGCTTTATTCTTTGTCTCCCCCGTCTGTCATGTGCATCCACGTGTGTTCTCCCCAGCCCGTCTTGTCCCATATGTGCATTTCATGTTTTAGGTTCCTAGTGTTTAGTTTCCCCAGTTTAACTGTCTTGCTAGTTTAGTCCTATCTCCGCTCGTCCCTTGTTTGCGTTTTCGTGCAATCTATGAATAAAACGGCTCGGTTTTTGTGAAGTCCCAGTTTCACGCCTGTTGATTCTCTCCTTTTGGGTCCACCTCATCATCACTTCACACATTCTGCAGCCACATACCATGAAGCCATTTCACTGGAGTGCAGAGGGATATCACTTTGTATTAGTTCTGGTGGATTATGCAACAGGATAACCTGAAGCAATGCTGCTGTGCACCACTTTACCAAAGAGTGTCGTGTAGACACAGTTTCAGGTCATCTCCAGAGCCGGCATATCGAAAGAGATACTGACTGACCAGGACACTTCATTCATGTCTCGGACACTTAAGTTGTCAACCTGATTAAAGAAAACTGCAAAAAAGGTCCAAGCCCAACCAAGAAAAAAAAAAAAAAAAAAAAGATGTGTACGTTCCAACCCTCAGCGCAAAGCTACACACACTGGGGAGATTGTCACAGGTTTACAGAGTGGATGTTGCTGAACTGAAACTGCGTTTTGCAGAGGTGTCCCCTCTCCCTCCCCTCTGCCCAGTCGTACAACACTCACAAACCACCATTATGGAGCAAGGTCTATAGTGTTACAGGCTTGAAACGAAAACAGCTGGACTTTTTGGTTCATGAAGACATTTCATTTCATTTGGTGAACTGTCGGCCAATGTTGTTGGTCGGCCTACAAATGTTTTTAAAAGTATTTTAACTGCATGCGACTGCTTATAATTTCAAATAGCAAAGAGACAGTCACTGAGCTAAATCTACAGTAGAGGTCTTCTAACAATCAATCAATCTCAAGCTGGCAAAGTGAAAAATAAGCATAAAAACTGTACTTAGTTCATGGATGTCAACCTCCTCTTCACCCCTCTTGTTGGCTTTGTTGAAGAGTCGGATCCCAGTAACAATCATGGTGAGTTCTTTGAGCTGCTGCTCCTGGTCTCTCTTTAAGGCCACTCGAAAGTTTCCCAGTTCAGCCTGAGGGAAGACGCTCTGCAGGACAGCTATGGCAAAGGAAGAAGAGAAGTCAAACGTTAGACACACTGCATGTATAATCATTATTACCACCACCAGCATCATTCACTGCATGGCTAATTGTTACACTATATCAGTGTTTCCCAAACTTTTTTTTGCTGGGCCCCCCATTGTTTTACAAGAAAAATGTTCGGGCCCCCCCACCAACTAAACACCCAGCCCCCCGCACAAACGCATCCTCCAACCACACACACCCATATTTTGTTTTCAAACTCCATTGCGGTTTATTTCACACCTCAAACATTTAGTAAACTGCAATAAATTACAGGTAGTTATAAAATAATCTCAGAACTCTTTTACGCTACGTCCACACTTAAACGGGTATTTTTGAAAACGCAGCTGTTTCTGCGTTTGGCCTTTCGTCCACACGTAAACGGCGTTTCGCAATCACCGAAAACGGAGTATTTTTTAAAACTCCTTTTTTGCGTTTACGTGTGGACGAGGAATACAGAGTTCGTCACGCAACGTCAAAGGTATGTGCCTTTTTTCACGTCACGCTGTGCGCCACGTTATTGTTTACATGAGATGAATTGCAGAATGGCAGATAGAGACAAAATACTGTTAATCTGACTATCTTCAGGTTTTACATGCTTACATACACACGCAGTTACTGTCCCTCCATTTAGAAAGGCAGAGGCGTCACGGTGTAATTATTTTACGTGTAGTTGTTTTTTTCCTGTGTATAATATTCAACATTGCTATCAATACATTTTTCAAAAAATGCCTCTCTGTGCAAAATGGGTTTAAAAACATAAACAACTGTGGGATACTGTTTGTCCGTGATTTGAACGGGGAACAAATCGTGGCAGGATCAGCCTGATATTATTTGTATCCCACTGTAACTTTACTGTATAAAGAGCTAACATCTCCAAAATGTCAGGAGTAGTTATTTATTACAACAAGTGTTTGTGAACTAAAAATCAAAGAATGTGGGATACTGTTTGTCCGTGATTTGGACAACCCAGCGCGTGCTGCCGATGCAAGGGAAACTAATTCTGTCGCAGAGACCTACCTCGGCACTTGTGCAGGTGAAGCCAAAGTGTCCAAGCTTTCTTTTTTTCTTTTTTTTTTATACCCCCCCGGGAACCTCTGCACCATATTATGTAAAATTGTTCATTTATTTTGTGAATAGAAGAGATTCCATTCAGAAAACTGCTGACAATTTGCTCCCTTTCAGAACCTGATCTTTCTAACTGGAAGTCTGATGTTACATAATATGAACAGACTTGTGGTTCATCAGAAATGTTTTGAAGTTCATAGTCAGCTCACAAGACATATGTTCGAGAATCACTGAGAATAGCAGAAAGGGCTGTCTGGATGATCTGGGGTTAGAATTAGTAGCACAGCCTTTGGTGTAACGTGGCATTACATTTTCAGTATGCAGACATGACATTGTAGTTGGAACAATGAAAAGTAGTATGAGACCTGTAGCCTCTTCCATAGTGTTGGTATCTGTAGGCGAACCCATAGCAGAGCGCAGCAGGATATAAGTGGTGATTTTCTGGTAAAGGCCATCCAATTCCTTCCTTGATTTCACCCTGTTGTCAGTGATCTCTCTGCACAGTGGACTCAGCTTGGACTCTTCTGACTGGTGGATATCCTCAAGAAACTCACCTACACAAACACACAAGGTCATCACCAAAAGTCATTGTGGCAAGGTTTTGCAGTGTGAAGTCTGTATGTGACTCAAATAGAGCACTGCAATAGCACAAACATGACTAAATAAACCCACATATGACAGCTTCAGATAATCAGCTTCTAAGCTGACCAACACACGTTTTAACTAGTCTGGAAATTTATCATTTAAGATCGGGGTTTATGACCTCTAGTGCCTCTGTTAAACAAGTTCAGCATGGCTATGCTGAACTTGTTTAACATATCCAGGCTTTCTATGCATTAGACAGCTCATCTAAACATAAAACCCAAGTTGGAGATAATGGGAAATACAGCAGTGGTTATCAATTGTTTGGACTCGTTGGTTGACACAAAAATGAACCAACTTAGCATAGCCTACTTTGATCTGTAAAGAACAAAAAATATATAATGGCAAAAAGCAACACTTTTGCTACAAATAGGACAAGACTGCAACAATGTGATGATTTTATTGATTGCAGCACTAGGTATGCCATTTATTTGTTACAAAGCAGCTGCACATGAAGACATGGAAAGCATTACGTCCTCTCCTTGCATACGTACTGAAAACCTACTGCTGAAAAAGATTGGTCTGTAAAAGCGAAGCTGTTGATTTACCTGTCAATCTACAGTCTCATCACTATGGTTACAAGCTCTGGGTAGGGCCTAAAAGAATGAGATTGCAGATACAGTGGGGCAAAAAAGTATTTAGTCAGCCACCGATTGTGCAAGTTCCCCCACCTAAAATGATGACAGAGGTCAGTAATTTGCACCAGAGGT